CGGGCATGTACTTCTGTCTCACTTGTAGCTGCAACCTGTAGATACTATTGAGTTTAGAGTTCTTTTACATCTGAGATCATGACTAGATAGCTCTAGGCAGACATCAAGGCTTACATAGATCTGTAAAATTACTGATTTAAAAGTATAATATTCATTAAATCCTGAAAATATTTACTCCTAGATGAAAAGCAAATAAAGTATGTGGATGCAGAGATACAGATTAAATACACATTTAATTTGACTTCCCAGATTATTGTGCCTATTTATTCAGGAATAAATATAAATAAAATACTAGTAGTTTTATTATTTAATCTTTATGTTGCTTGACAGTATTGAAATTGAGCATTAAAATAACATAAAGGTAAATACTTCTGGATGAACTCTAAATCCTGGATGTGTTAATATGATTGCAGATACTAAAACTGATGGTAGCATGTATTAGTTATAAATTTGCATGGGCAAATTTATAGAAGTTACTTTCCAAAAATGTGACATTATTCATAACTAGACCTAAAAGTTGTTTATTTATCATAATAGTATTCTGTTTTAAAATAAAATTTGGGCAAATCAGCTGGATATAAAGGACACAAGAGTAGCAGACACTGGCTAATACTGAGACTTGTAAATTCTTAGACATATTTGTTACAATTTAAAATGGAATTTTAACTGACTTTTTTGGACTACCTGTGCTTTGTCTTCCTGAGGTTTAAAAAAACAAGCATAGAATATTCAGCCTTTTGATCTACAATAAAGTTGCCCTTTAAGCCTCAAGGGCTTATACAGCCTAGTCTATTTGTAGGATCTTAAACTTTGCTGATACCTTACCTTTGCTCTTCACCTTCACTTTTCTAATATTTGCATTATATAAATTTTGAATTAACATATTTCACTACTTTATAGATATTTTCAGACTGCGTGTAGGAATTTATCATATTCATACAGAAGTACTGGGCAAACACCTGTAATTCCCAGCACAGCTGCCTAAAACCTGGCTTTCATTTTCATTAATGACAATCATGTAATGACATTTGAAGACAATATGGGTACTTCAGACTAAAACAAGCCAGATAATGTGCTTTGAGTTGGTTTGGAAAATCACCTTTCAGCTTTACTCATCCCTCATAAGCTGTTTGACCATATTCTCTGTTCTTGTACAATACGAAAGCCACCAAAAGACACATATTTCCTCCATTACAGGTAGGATGGATCCCATATGAAAGAAGGAAGAGAAAGAAAAACAATGGTAAGTGTTCAGAATTTTTTCTTTATAATGTATGTCTCTGTGGTTCATGAAACAATAGAGCATGAGGCAAGCTCTTTGTAGTATGGCAGTATGGTTATAAACATGCATTTATAGATAGGAAGACAAAGTAAAGTATACATTTTAATAAATTAAGGACATATATGTTTTGACACTATTAATTTTAGCGTTTCTCTAAGTCTGGACTGAACTGATGTTTTTCTGAATTTTCTACAAATCCAGCACTATTTCAGGTTTGAATAACTGGTGAATTTTTGTATTAACTGTTTATAGAGTAGTATATGCACAGAAATCTGTTTTTCTGGAACGGTAATGAATACTTTACAAATCATATGAAACAGCTGTTGAAATGTTTGCAACTGGTAAATATAAGCAATATATCAAGATGCTGATTTATGTACTTTGAAATATGTATGTTTTGGATTAAAATGTCATTATTAAAAATATAAAACATATTAGGACCAGCTAGCACTAAACTTTACGAATGATGCAACACCACATTATATTTTTGAGACTGGGATTATCAGTGGCATTAGAATTGAACATAGTCTGGACATTTTTGTTGCTGTACCATTGTATTTATTAGTAGTTGGTTATTTTAAGACATGTAATAAAGTGTCAAAGAATGGAGAAAATGTCTGAGCCATTTAGCCAACTAATACCACAAAAGTATAGCAGTAAGTATACTCTCTGCATCTTTTTGACAGTTAATTTGGCCCCTTTACTGAAAATCTGAGTGCTTCCTAAATATTCAGAAAAAGATGTAGCAGTTGGTTGTTTTTTTTTTTTTTCTTTTCCTCTCTAGAAGAAATGAAGTGACATCCAGCTTTTCTGTTGGCTTTGCTGCTTAGGAGTGCTTAGTGTGTGTGCACATGTATATAAATAATTCCTTTTTGATGTAATTTTTGCCAAAGTTCCCTCATTTGAGTGACATTTTTGCCCCATTTACATCAATGTTAAAATTTCCATTAACTTCTCCAAGGCTGGGATTCCACCTGTTTTGTCTAAGTTCATTATAGTTCAGTCTAATGTATTTAAAAGCATTTATATTTTAATTGCTTCAGTGGAATGCAGTTGTCATGACCGACAAATCTTGAAGAGGGCAGAAAGGATCATCTGGCAAAGAACAATCACACAAAAGGGCTTATACAATGGAATAGAAATACTAAGCTCTACACTCAGGGAGAAATAGTGTGGTAAGGGGCATTTCAGATAGTCCCCCTTTAAAAATTTGTTTTCAAGTAGAATACTGCTGCTTTTAAAAAGTTTTTTCAAAGTTTACAGCTTCATTCCTGCATATGCATTGTCGTAAGCAACACAAGTTTAAAATGTGGGTCTAACGAGATGGAGACAAATCTGTTAGCACCATGCAGACAAGAGTGAATTATGCTACTTGGCTGGTTTGGATATCTAATCATGCTGAAAAAGAAACAAAGGTTGAAAGTGAGTGTCTGCAATAAAGAAACATTTTCTACAACAAAATAAGTCTGTCCCTTTGCCCCTAATTCTCTCACCTTTTCCCCTGCATCTTGCCTGCAACTGCAATTGTAGTAAAAGCTGTTCAGCAGAGCAGCTCACCCTTGGCACAGGAGATGAAATGTGCTCTTCACGTCTGTGCTAAATATGGTTTCAAACTTAAATTTCTCTTTCTGCTTCTTGGTGTATTTGCCTTGGCTCTTGCCTGGATCTGGGCCTAATCCTGTCTTCTGTGTGCAAGAAAGTGCTTTAACTAAATTCTGAGATATCTGAAAAACTGTTACTGCAAAGATAACATGGGATATCATCCATTGACTGTTATCACCGGCTCCTATCATCAGTTTTTCCAGTACTTCCCAGATACAAAGGAGATGAGACGTTGTATAGAAAATGTTTTCTCTCGAGTGCACCAGCAAATGTTTGCAGGTGGTTGGTATTTCTAAGTTGTTTATGATAACAGAGATGTTTTGCCATTTGTGGCTTTGCTGCTTATATTGCAAGAGGCAGAGTGAGAAGCCTTTTTTTTGGCTTATGACAGAAGTTTGTAAACAGTAAGGTTTTCTTTGTTCCCAATTTTCATGTCACTAGATGTTTAAGACTGTATTCATCAATGTGAACAGTTCTGTCCATAATTTGGCAGTCCAAAATGTCAAGGTCCTCAACTAGTATAAATCAGTGTAATTCCTTTGGTTTATGTGAACTGGCATAATCCTGTTCAGTTGAAATTCGGGACTAGAGTATAGGAAGCATATGTGTTAGTCAGGGAAGGTTGTAGTACTTCTTCTACTTACTGCTTTCATATGGATGTGGAGTGTTTTAAAGTTGGCATGGTCCAAAAAAGTTTTTTTAATTTTCTATTTGGAGTGTCAATATCTCAGTAAGTGAAAAAAACATCTTTGGTTTAGGGCTTATGTTTCATGATAGCTTCATAGGAATCAAAGACCCAGTTTGGATCTGAACTTTTGAGCAATACTGAAACTTGGAGAAACAGAAATATTTCTTTAAGAGATTAACTGATTGTATGTGCAAAGTGTTATACAATTAAAATTTTTAGCTAATTCAGAACTTATATTCATTGACATTAATAAGCCTGTGCATATTCATGTAACAGCTGAATCCAGATATTTAGGGCATGTAAAATGAAGTAAAACAAAAAGATTTTAAGACTTTTGTAGCTTGAAAGAGCAATGAGAAATGCAGTGCTTTCAAAATCAAAAAATGATAATGCCTTTCACTAGGAACAGAGCTTTTACAAAGGGTCTTTCAACTGAGGATCTCACAACTCTGCTTGAAACACTGAATTAGGGCTCAACACTGAAGCCTTTATCAAATTAACAGTCTGAAGGGGAAGGGAGTGCTCCGATGATTTGTCAGCTATAGGATTGGGCTCTTGCTCCTCACCCTGCAAGGTAAGGCAGCTTTTACTTTCTATTAGTTACAGAATGATCAAACAAGAAGTGTGACTTGCCTAAAGTTACACCACAAGTCTGTGACAAAGTTGTGGAATAAAACACCCTAGCAGACATGTACATAAGTTGGAATTTCATCTTTCTCTCGTGTTCTAAGTTAGGAAGAACAACAACTCTTTTGAAATTTAAACCAGAAAGATAATAATTTCTTTCCATGTGATTTGTTGGTTATCCTGGCTAGTTATCTTGGTTGAAATGAGGAAATACTTTTCAAAATCTGTTGGGTGGGAAGCAAAAAGCTAACCCTTTGAATTTTCTGACCTGAAGAACAGTTGTGTTAAATTGATGTTAAGCTAATCATTTTTCATGTAATAGTCACCACCTTCCTTTCCCTGTCAGAATGATTCTACTAGAAAAAGATAAAATGTGTCTTGGATATATATAAATGAGATATTTAATTAAAGCTCTACCCTCTGTCTTCTGTCTAGTTATTTCTAGTCATTTTACTTTTCTCCGTCCTTTTATCTGGTTTACATCTTTAAAATGCAATACAGAAAACTGCCACAAGCACACTTGGGGAACCTGAGAAAAGTGCCGTTTCTCACATTCAGATGAGAGCCAGTGGCAGTACTCAATCTCACCATTTCATCACAGGCAGATGATACTACAGTGCAAGAACGTTCAGGTTTGTAAATGATAGATTTTAAAAGGCTAAACAAATGTCAGTAACCTGCTGTACTTCGCAGCATTGGTGCCATAAATAGGTACACTCTCTTCGTTACTTGGGTGGCTGATTTTGAAATTTATGATAAGGTATATAAAATTAATGATGTGTGCTTACACTTTAAGTGATAAAAGTTAGTTTCTGCCAGTGTGCTAATGTACATAATTGGTTCTTTACAACTAGAAACCAGATACTCTTTTCATTCACACGTTCATTTTCTGCCAGTTTAATTTATGGAATGGGGGGGGTGGGGATGGAGGAAAAAAAAACATTTCTCACATTGTTACTGGACTTGGGATATACAAGTATGATTATGTAAAATCTGTCTGAGTGGCTGTTTGTCCTTTCTTGCAGAGTATTCTGTGCTGAGTGGGAGGGTCACACTGTGTGAGACTAATAAGGACAGAGCTGCATCCCCCTCTACCACTCTTTGGAGACTCACTCCAGCAACTCCTCAGCACTACAGCAGCTCTGTACAGGCATTTTCAGTGCTTCTGGGGGACATACTCAACTAAAAATTAAAGGTAAGCAACTCATTATTTGTAGTCAATTGTCGAAACATCTCACGTGTGTCCACATGTGCTACAGTATTCCTGCTGGCTTGTTTTGTGGTGGTTTTGGTTTGGGTTTACTTTTTAAAAATTGCCATTTATCACCGATTTTGCCTATATTAACTATGTCCTATATAAACATAATATACACAGTGAGCTTTTAATGTCCTGTCATCAGTCTGTTAGAGGATTGTGCTTGTCTGAATACACTGTTTATGTTTGTGGGTGAGCGTAGGTATATGCTAAAATATGCTAATGGCAACAGTCCTACTAAATTTGCAGCAATTACAAAACCGATTAAACTGTTGCAAATTGCCACAGTGCTGAGCATACTTATTAATTGTGTGCATATATTTACATTTTAAAAAAATCTACGGATTAGCGTGTATCTTTCGAGGGGCCTACATCCAGCTAGTCGCGGCACACCCGTGAGCAGGGGCACGGGTGGGAAGCGCAGCAAATGCCCGCCCGGGCGGGGGCACCCGCCCGGTTCGGCGGCGCTGGGGCACAGCCCCGGGACGCGTCCCGGAGCCCGCCCGGCGGGCAGCGCCTTCTCCCTCCCCTCCGGCCCCGCACCTGCTCGCCGCGGGCAGCGCCCGGCGGCAGAGGGCTC